ACATCAGTACCTGCAATAAGGTTGATCAAGCTGTCAGGCAGGAAAAGTTTCAATCTTTCCCAGTCTCATTCACCTGTTTCATCAACCCAGCTGGCCACTGATGCATTGAGTTCTTCCTCAGTGAGCACCCTCGTAGCATAGTCCTGTAGAATCATCCCAGAAGAGACCCATGGTTGGATCCAAAAACCAGTGGTCTCCCCATCCCTCAGGCTCCAAAGGGTGGCCTACTTTATAAATGGCATTGCTTTAACAATGCCTTTCCAAAGACTGGAATGGTTACTCTTCTTCATCTTATGTATTTTGCCATCTTTGTGGTGGAAGTACTTCCCCTGCAAAACTTTCACCTTCATTGTTGAGAAAATTCCAAGCAAGTTTAACCATGTATACCAAATTCAAACTCCTAGCAGATCAAAGGCCAAGGACACCCTGATTTTTTGGTTTACACACTGTCTCCCAAGAGAGCAGGTGAACTTTCTTCTTTCCCCCATATGAGCCCCAAACAAAACCCCTTATCTTTTGGTTAATGGCACCACAAATTGAACATGGAAGGAAGGCAGTTGGCATAGCATATGAGGGAATGTTATTAAGCACACTGGTTGCAAGGGTTACCCTTCCTGCTAAGGAGAGGGTTCTAGCTTTCCAGAAGGAAAGTCTCCTGTCCATTGTCTCCAAAATGTAACGAAAGGTGTACTTAGTTAATCTACCATGCAGGACAGGTACGCCCAGGTATCTACCAAGATCAGGGGTGGCCTGGATACCAATCTTAGCACTAATATTCTGCCTTTCACTAATCCTAGTGTTCTTAGAAAAGTAAACCCTAGATTTTCCCTTACTAATCAACTCCCCTGAAGCCTTGCAAAAGGATTCCACACATTTCAAAACAACATCAGCCTGTTTACAAGAAGCCTCAGCAAAGAGCACCAGGTCATCCATGAAGAAAAGGTGGGACAGTTCAGGGCAGTGTGGTGCAATTTTGATAGGTTTCCAACAATTTTGGTTAACTTCATGCAAAATACTATGACTAAGTCTCTCAACACACAATGTAAAGAGATAGGGTGAGAGAGGACATCCCTGGCGCAACCCTCTAGAGGGTTTGAAGCTCTCTGTCTCTCCCCCATTCCACAGGCTTGCCATTTTAGTTGATGTGACACACTCCATAATCATTCGCAGGCACAAATATGGGATTCCTGCACTCTTGAGTGTGTTTTCCAGGAAAAGCCAATCGATTTTGGCATACGCTTTTGAGAGGTCCACCTTCAGGATCATCGAACCCCTTTTCCCAGTCTTCCTTGCCATTGAATGGACAGTCTCCTACAAGATAATACCATTATCGGTAATATGTCGGTTTGGGACAAAACTTGATTGATTCTGATGCACCAGAGACGACATAAGGATTTTGAGTCTATTGGCTATGCATTTGGCTACAATCTTATAACCAACATTACATAAACTAATGGGCCTAAATTCATTCATAGACTGTGGTGCATCAGTTTTCGGGATCAAGGCAAGTAGAGTCTGATTCGTCAATCTAATATTAGAGGGTGAAGTGAAACAAGAGATGATAAAGTTCGAGAAATCTCCCCCAATTTGCTCCCAGCATTTCTGGAAGAAGATGGCTTGATAGCCATCGTTTCCAGGAGCTTTGAGCCCATTCATGTCCATGACAATTGGTCTGATCTCCTCCATACTGGGTGGTGTACAGAGTCTTGATTTAGCTCGATCATCGCTGCTAGGGAAATCAGCAGGGATGTCCTGATGCTGGCTAGTGTCCTCCTTGGTATAGAGATTGATAAAGTACTCCCTAGCCATCATTTGCTGAGCTTCAGGATCTGTGATCCAGTTGCCTGCACCATCTCTCAGACCTGCAATCCTCTTTCTTCTTCGTCTGCTCAGTGTGCTTTGATGGAAGAACTTGGTGTTTTGGTCTCCATGAACAATCCAGTTTGCCCTGTATTTTTGGAGCCACAGGATCTCCTCTTGCCAGAGGGTTTCCTCCAACTCTTCTCTCACACAGCTCTCCTGCAGCTTGGACTGGAAACTAGGGGATATGTCGTTCTTTGCCTCCAAGTTTTGCAGACGATTCCATAGGCTTCTCTTTCTCTTGAAAATATTTCCAAAGACTTCAGTGTTCCACTTCTTTAGCTTGCTCGAAGGTCCTGTAAAGCAAGGGGAAATGCATCACCCGACTTCCAAGCATGGCTTAAGAAGGGGGGAAATTATCATGGGCAATCCAAGGTGCTAAGAACTGAAATCTTCTCACCAGTTTGCTCTTATCAACAGGTGCCTCGCTGCTCAAGAGGATTGGTATATGATTAATCTAAGCTTTGCAAGGTGGAGGTTGGTCGATTTTGGGTACGCTTTCAGCCACTCTGCATTACATAGACATCTGTCCAAACGCTCCTTAATCCTTGTCTTCTTTTTGAACCAAGTGAATTTTGGTCTCGTGAAGCCCAAGTCAAAAAGTTCGTTCTCCTCCATAGAATTGTTTAGTGCTTTGACCTTTTCACTATTGAATGGGGCTCCTCCTTGCTTCTCTGAGGACTTAGATATGGAGTTCAGGTCTCCAATCAGCATTCAAGGGATATCGGTCACTCTGCCAATACGTCCAATTGAGTCCCATAATTCACCTTTGATGTGCTCGTTTAAACTTGCATAGATTGCTGTCAGTTGACACACTCCTTTGCCAGCCTTTGTGCACTTAAGGTTTATGAACTGCTTGTGACACTCAATAAGCTCCAAATCCAGCTGGTTTTTCTTCCACATCACCCAAATGCCTCCACTGAACCCAACCGCATCTGAGACCTCCCAAGCATCAAAGCCAAGTGACTTTATCACGTCAATTGCATCTGTGCCGCTGATTCTTGGTTCCATTATGCAGACAACATTTGGTTCGTACATTTTCAAATAAAACTCCTTAGTAGAGTGAAATTCCGGGTGCTTTGCACCTCGACAGTTCCAGGAAAAGACTTTAATCATGATAAGATGAAAAGGTATTCCCAGCACACACCCCGGGGGGGAAGAAATCAAGCAGAATCGATGGCCATGGCCATCTCTGTCATTTCATCTCCGTTGGCATTATCCTTCCTTTGATTCTAGTTTGCACTTTCTGGCATCATCGTAGCATTGGCTGAGCAGGCATCAAACTCCAGCTTACGAGTGAGGATCCCACTATCCGAGGAAATACTTGGGGCCTTATGGGTGGCTCCCATGGATGACGCTGAAGAGGCCTTCATCTTTGGTTGATGGCCTGTCGATGCATCCTCCGAGAGGTCCTTCCCTTTCCCATGCTTTCTAACATCAAGAGTCTTCTGAAGAGAGTTTGTCATTGGCTTTGTCATAGCTATTGGCTTCTCTTCCTTCGGCACCGGTCTTCCCTTCCCCGGAATTCCACTGCTCAGTTTGGAGTTCCCTGTGGTTTTGCAGCTAGAGCCTGCTCCTGGGGTGGAACTCAAGGGAGAGGCTTTCTAGTTTTCTTTCTTCTCTGTTTCCTTCACTTGATGTGGTTTCTTTTGCTTTTCCTGTTTCTGCACATTTCCTTTGCCCTGCTTGTTACTCTTTACGGTATCCATACTCTTCCTTGTTTGGTCTTTTTTTACCTTCTGAGAGATCTTCTCCTTCTCGACTTCCTTATGCTGCTCGCTATCCGTTTCCTCATTACAACCTTTGTCATTACTTTCCTCTTCCTCTTCCAGTGCACTGAAGCGCGAACCTCCCTGTGGCTCTTCCTGTTTTGACACTGGGGCTTCTTTCTCAGTTTTAGTCACTACCACTCACTGTCTGTTCTTCTTCCTTTTGGTCCTTGTTGCAAGCATCCATGGCCCAAAGTCTTCAACAACTTCAGGCCGAATCTCCTGTTGGGATATCTGATGTTCCTCCTCTCTTGTTCTTTGTTCCGGTGTTGCGTTAGCCATCTCCTCTGCTCTAGGGCATTTTTCTTCCAGGCGCCCATAGTGGCCACAATCATAGCACACAATATCCAATCCCTCGTATTCAACCCTCCTAACTCTCCGCTTCAACCTGTATTTCGGGACAAGTCACTTTCTAAGATCAATTTCCACACAGATGCGCGCATAATTTCCTCTGAACCCATTCAATGTGTTGTAATCGATCTTGACCACTTTCCTTAGTCGACTACCAATGATCATCAAGATTTCTTCATCGAAATACGCCATTGGCAGATAGGGAAGCCGAACCCAAACCATATTGTTATTCATAACGTCAAAATCTGGGTCGAAATCCAATCTCCACGGCTCCGAAGCGATGTTTTGCTCGTCCACTGTCCAATGCCCTCCATAGAGGGCTCTGTTGTAGTCTAATTGAGACCCAAAGATAGCATGATAGTACCCATTCCCGATATCACCGATCTCCACCGACCCAGTTTTGGCCCACATCTTGTGCAATCTCCTGTGGATGAACGCAGACGGGAGGCTTTTGCCCAAAATCCTAAAAGTAATTGCTCTGCTCCATCGAAACCGAACCCTAACATTTGTGCTCTTCTTAATCCGAATAGTGGGGCAGAGGGGGTCATCGTCAACATCTTCATCGTCAGATTCGTCTGACATCAGCTCGTCCCCGTCAGGGATTTCCGGAGCAGGACCGTTCCCGAGGACCGAGTCTTTGTAGGATACTTTCGTAGTCTGCGTTGAGGGAGACTCCCCTCCTGAATTGGTCATTGGTAGCACTGGCTCTGAATCCACCATAGCCACTTCTGTATCTTCACTTCTTGTCGTGACCACCGCAAAGTCCATGCTGCCTTCACCTGTGAAAACTTCACTTGTTGTCGCCTTGGCCTTCTTGCTCGGTTGGATGGGCGTCATTGTTGGCGATCCGTCCGGCGGTTTCGGATCTGGGATCGCCGCCCCCGTAGGAGGCTCCATCTTGTTAGTGTTGTGGTATATGATCCACGATTGAACCTCTCCCAACAACTCGAGTTATTGTGAGCAACTGGTTCTTGACATGGTATCAGAGCCTTCTGTGACCGAGAGGTCTTGTGTTCGATTCCCGGTGACCCTCATTTGTTAAGCACATGGTATTCTTGTCTTCATACCTGTGCAAACTTCAAGCCCTTGTGAGTGGCTTTCGTTTGAGGGGACGTGTTAGTGTTGTGGTATATGATCCACGATTGAACCTCTCCCAACAACTCGAGTTATTGGGAGCAACTGGTTCTTGACACATCTCACAACAGTCCCAAACGGGCAGAAAACAGGAGAGAGGACAGAGCTAAATTCTCACTCTAACTTTACCTTCTCTCTCCCTCTCTTTCCTTTTTCTAGTCTTCTAAAGTCAAAACAAATGATGTATCCGGTCTTTTAAAGTCAAAACGACGGGGTTAAAGCCTAATCTTTCAGTTCGATAAAAAAAAAGTTCACAAAACATGTCGACGTTGCAGAGAACAAGGTATGTCAGAGTTCAAACAAACATCACAGTTACATTTGATCATCAAATGCAAACATTGTCAAGGTGTTGCAACAGGTACACTATCTTCGGATCACTATCTGCCATAAAAAAGAAGCCTTTGTTCCCATGCTTCTTCCAACTTATTGCTTAAACAGAAACAAAAGACAGGAAGCCTCCTGAAAAAGTTTGCGAATGTTTCTACGCACACACACAGCACGAGGCCTGAGGAAAGAAAACCCGCACCCGAAATCCAGATGACACAAGGATTACACCCGCAGAGTGCCTACTCCCTCTCACGGAGCTCAAACTTTGGCACGTACAAAGTGACACAGAGATAAATTAAACATCACAAGTCGACATCGACCTTCTTCTTCTTCTACAACAACAAGGATTCCCTCAGCAGACGTAAAGTCCCCATGAGCCAAGCATCAGTTACCTGACAACAAACGCATGGAACCAACATTAACACAAGAGCAGTCATACAAAGATGGAAGCTTTTCGAGACAGCAATAATGTTCTGTCTTCTCTTTTTTTGTGGGATAAAGTCAAACCTCAAAATTCACTTGGTGAAGAGCGGGAGCTCGTGGAGATCATGTCAGAGGAAGCAGCCATAGGGATGGACATGGAGAGCTGGGTGGTGGAGAACGAGGTCTGGTTGGAGCGGTCATCTTCAAGGCCCGACCATGACTCACCCCGGGTTCTGGGCCACTCGTCAAAGAAGGGTCGTAGTGACTGACCATCCTGTTTTGTTGTTTCGCCGCCAGATTGGGGGAAGTCACAGCCGAGATATGACTGTTGGTGGGAATAGTCGTTCATTGTTGCTGGCTTGGAAAAGGACAACACTCTGGATTGCTGCATCTGAGGCCATGTGGAGGAGTCACCACCTCGGTTTCTTGCGGAGTCTTCGTTGTATATACCACGCTCTCCGGCCTCAGCCTTCACTCCTTGGAGATATCTGCTGCTTAGCATATAATCATGGAAAAGGAGAAGGTATTTCTCTGTTAGTTACAAATCAGGCAAATGTCTGCAACTCCACTGCAAACGGAATATGCTGCAAGAACAAGCTCCTACTTATCAAAAAGTGACAGTGTAGACACGTATGTACTTTATAAGATCTATGCATCAAAGTTTAATCAATCCAGTAAGTGACTTCGGAGCGCAATTATCTGCTCCCTTTAATTCTAATAAAGTTTAAGCGCTCTGCAAGGTATGGAGGTGGCATGAACTATAAAGCATACAACTAATTTACGTTATTGGAGTGGTGATTAAGGGGACCAGACTTCATTTGTGGTCCCACGAAAATACGATTAGGGCATAAGAAAATGGCACCAGATGATCCATAAAACAAGAAAATGACACCAGATGTTGCATGAGTGTCTTCACTACATGAATAACAGCTTGAGAAGTTTGGAAAGACAGGAAGAACAACAACGTCTAAACAGGTGACGAACACCTGAACAGCAAAAATATTATGAAACTGAGGAACAAAACGATAGAGATCAAACATTTGCAGGATGTGAAAAATTTTCATACATATCCAGCATTTGACTTCTCCAAAACTCGGAAGCCTCATCCTTCTCATATGTTATCCTTTTACCAGCCAAATGCCATAAGATTAAGTTAACTATTAACTAACTGACTCATCTTTGCACATTTCCTTCATAATCTCCTCTAGGGGCGTCCTAGTCGCTACATGAGGGTGCTGACCTACTTTTCATTCCAGTAACATAATATATCCTACCACACTACAGAGGGACGTTGACGGTGAAAGGGATGAATCTATCTCATTAGGTCTTAATTTGTGCATCTCACCGCCAAAACGGCCATTAACATAGATCATATGCAACCGAATGATTTTAATACAAATAAGACCCAAAGGTGAACATCAAGGGCAGGACAACAACACCTCCCAGAAGTCATATGCTAGGAAGAAGGTTACAGTATGTTACTTACTTCTGATAAAGATTTTGATATATGGCAAACAAAATGACATAACAGCTGGGGTACTTCTAGCAAGTACTCAAAGCTTCAATCATCCCCAGTCAAGCATCTACCAAAAGTAATAGAGAAGCCAGGAACAGCAAGAGGATGATTACCTGTAATCTTTGCTTGGAATAGCATAGGGGATAGAGTCCAAATGATACTGAGACTGGTTACTTCCACTGACAGCAGTGCACTGGGGATTCCCAAAGGCCCCGAAGGCGTGCAATGCAGAGTTGTGCTGTAGGCTTCCTGCCCCGCCAGAGCTGCTGTCAGTAATAACAGTCCTCCCGGATGGTGTCATGGTAGACAATGACTGTGTCATTATGGTTTGTTGTTGTTGTGATGATTCCACAGGCTTTCTTGAACGGTTGCGGCCACGGTGCATATGGCGCTCACAATACTTGGAGTCAGGATGGGCGTCTTTGGAGCATCTCCACTTCTTGCCATCTGTCCTCCTGCATCTCCCTGGCTCTGGATCCACCTTCTTCCCATAGAATGAGCAATACCCCACTGCAAACCACCATAACCCATTTTCAACACGCACAAAGAAACACCCCCCTCAATACTAGCTCAAACATGCATTCATTATGAAGCACACACTAGGTCTAATTCACATGTATGAACCAGGAAAGGCAAAAGACAAAGGATGGTATCAGAACAGTAGGAAAACCCATCTTCTGTGGAAACTCTGCAAAAAGTCACGAGCAAGTTTCACACAGTGTAATCCTAGATAACCAATTGGAGAAGGATGGTTTTGTTTCTTTCTCCAGAAACCCTTTATTGTCGGGGTTAAAAAAAGCTTCAGAGGCCTGTCCCCAATCTTGTTTGTCTCCCCAAGTTTAATTGGATTCAAGTCTAAGCAAGAAACAGCTCAGCCTCAACCCGTCACTCAAAAGCCAACTAATTTCAGCACAGTAATGATTGACCTTTAGTTTCCTTCTATTTTGGATAAAGTGAAAGAGAGGAGGCAAGCAAACACGGAGAAAGCCAGAGAACCCAAGGAACAAAGCGAGTACAAGAGAATGAGAAACTACCCTTACTCAACAAGACTCCCCCAGCAACAAAATAATAATCAATCCACTCCAAAGAAGCAAAGATGAAAACTTTTCAATAAACCCACTCATGAAATCAGATTAAAACATAGATGCAATAAAAACAAGAACCCGGAAGATTTCTGGGTTTTCATTAAAGATAGAAGAAGAACAAAACAAGGGAAGGATGAGGAGCGAGAACGCAGTGCTTACTAGAGGGATGGTTGAAGAATCTGTGAGAGATGGAGTCGAAGCTCTTTTGAATGGGTAAGACGAGATCAGGAGGGACAGGGAGACCAGCCATCATGTACTTAAAGATCAAAGCTTGGTGTTCGAGTTCTTGCCACTGAGACACAGTAAAGGCAGACCTCATCAGTGTCTCCCCACTCCCACCCATCGCTGTCCCTCCTCCTGAGCCACCACCGCCACTGCTCATCACCACTCTTACCCTTCCGATTTTTCTGCTCTCTTTCTGTGTTTCTTTCCTCTTTGTTTCTTTCCTTTTTCTTTGCTGGAGTGGGGAAGAGCAGAAGTTTCTAGTTTTAGGAAGGGAAACCCAGGAGGTGAGACATGGGGAGAGGAGATGGGACACGGATCAGAAGCAGCATCAGCAGGGCCAGTTGCTAGCTGTGGGTTTGTTTTGTGTCAAACTCAGAGAGACCCGTTTATAAGCGTGTCCGTGTGTGAGAGTGTGTGTGTGTGTCTGTCGCAGTCTCAAATGTGGATGTGGGTGTGAGGGCTTTGTGTTGGGAAAGGGAGACAGGGAAGAGGAAGAGGGGAAGAGGAAGACAGGAGGATTTTTCTTTTACTTTTGTAGCCCTGTTATGCCCTCCCAAGTTTTTTTGTTCTGATTCTATTGATGGGAGGTGGGAAGTGATAAGCGTTTGTCTGGAACTTAAGGTGGAGATGTGGGTGGTGTTTGTTAGTGCCGAAAGAAAGGTGGAGCTTTAGGAGGGTGCTTGATTAACGTCTTATTTGACAATTCATCATTAACTCGTTGGCTCCGGGCTTCGTTTGGCTAATTTTACCGACTATTATTGCCTTGCCTATTGATGTGTAGTTAAGGCGAATGTTGGATCCAATTTTTCTTATGAACTCTTTAGTTAATTCAAATGCAATACCTAACAAATCTCTAGTTTTTTCATCCTGAAGGCTGAATCTCCACTATGTAAGATTCGGATTGGACCTAACTCTTGTCTCTAAGGCATCAAACCAAGATTTGCTTTCGAGCTTCGACTCTTTTGACATAACAGGTTCTTAGGCCTCTATAGCAAGCTCTTCCAAATTGATTACAAGCCACCATCCTAAACATTTACCCTGCAAATCGATTGACCTATCCCGACAAACTCAAACTTTGACCAACCCGACTCACTCCCCGTCCCTATCTCGAGCCTCAACTATCCTTTTTTCTCTCAACACATTTGGAGCTTTGTCAAACTGATTGTGACCCTCACATTGGGTTACCTATTTCCAACAATCTAGAGTTTAAATACCCAACCTCAAACCTCGAACCTAGGCCTTATCTCCTAGCCTCTCTTAAATTATGAGTAAGGGGTAACACCGAGAAAAACAAGTTCCATAGACAAAAGCATCATCACACTAAAACAAGCAGTGAAGAGAGATTTATCTAGATAACTATGCAGAGAGCATGAAGCGTCTGGAGAGCATCGCTATTTTAAGTGAATCCCTTTAGTAGCAAACCGATTTTTTCACATCTCTAAATGAAAGAAATGTAGATTCGATGAGATATTGAGGCTCCAGGTTCATCTTCGTCTATCCTTATTGGTTAGATATGAAGGGGAGCACTTCCCCCCAACTCTAGAGAGTATGTTAGAGCAACCACACTAAATAACTCCTGGCCAAATTGAAATTTCATGTAAAAAATATTTTATAATTGTCAGGTCAATCTACACTTTACGAAATAGCTTTCATTTCCTCTGGTTTGTCAACAATACTAACTACTCCAATCTAGAAAAGTGTACCCTAGATTGGTGAAGAAGTAAAGTGATGACCAAGGTGGTATTCCATGGGACCTTTAGTATTACTACTACTCTTGGCCTCAAGCTACTATTTAGTCAATGAGAAGGAGGGTTTGAACATGAATTAAACAAAACTGACAATAATATAAACAAAACAGAGTACGAGGGAGATCACTAAAGATAAGTAGTTGTTTAGGTAGAATCCCTCTAGCCATAGGTTGACATGGGTTGCATACAAGTAAATGAAGGCTTCCTTATCTTCTAAATTTCAAGGAATCAATTGAGCTAGCATCTAAGGGAATGGTCATGTCACTTAGATGCAATTCAAGTAGACTACTTGGCTCAATGGTCATGCAACCAGCTATTACCTAGAGCACTAAGCCTAGATTCCTCCAAATGGGTTTTAATCCTATGTGAATGAAGCTACAACCAATGGTCATGTTATTAGGTGCTCTCAATCTTGACCTAGTTAGATGGTCTCTCTTTTAGGTCACGAAACCCCAATTCCAAATACTCGACATAAGCACACGAAAAATCTTGATAAACCATCAATAGATATAGGAAATAGGTTCACTATCATGATTACAAACAAACTTGATGTCATTTGTAGCGAGTATCAAATTTACCTGCCCCGAAGGCTAGAATCGTATTTCCTTAGGGCCTCTTGCAAACCACTTACTCGGGTGGCAAGATATGGTTCTATTGATTTAGAAAACAACATAGGAGGTTGAGGTGCCTTCGGTTTTTCAAAATGAGAGAGCTCAAAAGGACATGCATAGCATAGGAAAGCTCCCCTAGGTCTCATTGGTTATCGTTCCTCGATGATCGGCAACATACGAGCTGCTAATTCCTTAGATCATTTGATCCCACCTTGTGTCGAAGTATTTACTCAAACTAATAGGCGACAAGGACCCTTCAAATTTCTTTCTTGAGGCTTCAAGTCGTTCGATTGAATGACGTTTAATAAAATAGGAACGCCATGTCTGGCTAATCTTAAGCAACTTGGATTTCGATCCTTGCACCTCAAAGGAGTGCAAGGTCGGCTAGACTCTCGTTAAAATAAAATAAAAAAGATTAAATAGAGGAAATCAACCATCACACATATAAGGTAAAAAAATCATATTCAAAACCAATTCATTGAGTTTACATAACCAGAACCCGTAGGGTCACATACCTACGCAACTAAAGGAACTAGCCAGCCATTGGGAAGGGTTCCTGGGTGATCATTGATCCAAACGATGTCCCAAAAGAGCCACCGGAATCGACTCGCTTTGTTGGCAAAGTAATGACCCTTCGTTGACTCCTCATCACCTCCTCTTCAATTTTTGTCTCTAGAGGCCTATTTATAGGCTTTTGATTAGGCTTTCTAGGGATAGAAACTCGTAGCTACATCATCATCCGGCCAATCATAAAGCTCCAAATTCGTGGCCAGCGAATTAGGAAGCTCCAAGGTAATTGTTTGACAAAGTATATGTGTCATGTCAAAAGACGAGCGAGACGCAAATTTTGATAATGGGTCGTCGTTTTGGGCGTTATTCCCATAAGCACATCTTCTCTTCGACTCAACTCCAACAACTAGATCTCGATGTCCCCTTCAGATACTAAGTGGTCCACTAGCCCGCTTTGACGAGTAAATGCACAGAACGCTACCAAAAGCATACCAAACGAGTAAAAGCAATCCTAGGATTGCTAAAACACACTTGAAGCAGTCATAACATGAATTCAAGGTATTATGATGATAAAGATATGAAATGAATACACTTTGGATCACAATACGGAGGTCTAAAATAGTCAATTCTACGTGTCATCGAACAAGCCCGCACTTGAACTTTGCTTGTGCCTATGCTCAAAATGCTACAACTAATTAGGCCTATACAATGAGATTACTTTCGAACTTAGTTAGTGGATCATAAGAGGCTTACAAGGTTAACCCTTGCACTTAAAAACTTTTGATCATTGCAATGATGCTCGAAACGTACTTCGTAAGAACGAAATGATTCATCTCTCACGAGATTAAGTTCTCTTTGTCTTACTCCAATCTTTTTTTTTTAAATATTGGGGTGAAGCTTATGTAGGTTGATTATGCAGTGTTTTACGCGCCACTCTACGGGCAACACTGTTGGCGGATCTAGGTACCGCCATAAACTTTATACAAACAGACAAATAGCTAAGAATCTGATGACACTCTCGTAACACCTAACCACCAATCGAGTCTTATTAGTTTGAAAGGTTTGATTATAATATTGTACTTCATAATTAATAACATTTAGTCTTATTTAATTTTATAATTACCATTTTAACAAATTTTTTAATTTGAACAGCCATCATTCACTAACCCAACAATAAAATAACTAAAATAGATCGACTCTGCAATAAAACTTGTTAGAGCGCCATGGAGTAGAACCTTCGGATCACAACACGAGTGAGGAGAATGGGAAATCAAACCCAGAGTCAGAGAAACCCTCTCCCGATCTAATTGGAGGACTCAACAAAACCAGTTTTCCGGCCAAACAAACAACACCACAGGATAAAGAGAAAAATATTCAACTTCAGAGCAAAAAACACAAAACGAGTTCGTTCCACTGACACATTACGCCGGAACGGAGTAAACAGGTGGATCAGCGGAGGCCGGAATCGGGAAGAGGACGGTGAACTGAGAGAGAGAGGTGGCTTTGCCACAGATGGGATGGGGAATGGCGATATACGAAGGGGTGGTGGTGGTAGGCTCACTCTGCGGTTTGGGCTGGGCAGGGCTATGGTTCTTGAACCGCAGGCTTTACAAAGAGTACGAAGAGAAGAGAGTTCTGGTGCAGATCATTTTCAGCGTCGTCTTCGCCTTCTCCTGCAACCTTCTCCAGCTCGTGCTCTATGAGATCATCCCTTTCCTCTCCAAAGAGTAATTGTTCCTCCAACATCTCTTCTCCTCTTCTGTTTGCTTCCTTCGGCTTCACTGCTCGGGTGAAATGCTTTCTGTGATTCAGTAGCAGAAGTAGCAGTTGGAGACGGTAATTCTCATCTGGAATCGTTCTCCGTGAAAACGGAGGTCAATTGCCATTGCTTTTCTTTTTACTGAGTTGGGAGTTCTAACTAGTACGTACTTAGAATGGAGCTTCGTAGTTCAGAAGCTGGCTCTAAATGTATGGTTTAGCTGTCTAGGAGCAGAAGAATCTGTAGATTTTAACAGTATTTTTTGGTGCTTATTGCTTTATGTTTGTATTCTTGTTCTTGAAACTACTTTGGTGCTAATCATTGTAAGGCAAACAAAGGATGCATTGCATGGGTTTCTTATCTTCGGCTTGTCACGTTGACTTAGTTGCTTGTGTGTTTTCTTGTTGTAGGACGAGATGGATTAACTGGAAAGTGGATCTCTTCTGTTTAATTCTGTTGCTCGTCTTCTTGTTGCCATATTATCACTGCTACTTGATGCTCTGCAACAGTGGTATGTACTTTGGTTTGT